TCTGATTTGCTACAACCGTATGTCCCACCATGTTCCCTGAGGTCAGCGGACCAGTTGCTCCTCACAGTTCCAGGAACTCGTCTTAAGCGCAGAGGTGACAGGGCCTTCTCTGTAGCAGGACCAATACTTTGGAACGAGTTACCTCTGCTTGTCAGACAGGCCCCCTCCCTCTCGGTTTTCAAGTCCCGTTTAAAAACCCACTACTATTCAGTAGCTTTCAACACCAGATGATCTGTGTTTTGAAACTGTATGCTCCACTCTGGTTAGTCGTCATTATCTGCATCGTTTTTATGTTTATATTTCTGATTCACTTCATTTTGTATTTTGCTTTGTGTGTTACCTGTTGTTCTGTCTGTACAGCACTTTGTTTGGACTTGTCGCTGTTTTAAGTGCTTTATAAATAAAATGGTATGGTATGGTATAAAATTAACTTGTACAGAGTGCATATTTATCAGTACTTAAGGCTATCTTACTGGTGACCTGAAACTGTTCTGAAAGAACATTTTTTATTTATTCAATCTTTTTTGATGTTGTAAAATAAACTGACATTTTTATACACCAGGTTTTGAACACTTGTTGAAATATGAACTTCTCACCTTATAGACATGAACATGGCAATGAAGCAGGCAATGGGATTAGCAATTGCAGCCATGGTGGAAGCCAGATGGTAGGCCTTGTTCCCATAGGGCAAACAGGAATAAGACTGCACTGAAGGCAGCACTGCATTTGTCAGAGCATTGACCCATGCCAACACAACAAAGATGAACACCACTTCCAAGTTCCTATAAGTCCCCTTTCCAAATGAACTCCTGGGTTCTTTCTGGACAGAGTTCATGTTGCTGAGCATTGGCTTCTGCTCTGGTGTCTGAGCATGAAGAGAAAACCCTTGTTCTCTTTTCTCCTGTTCCAGGTCTGTATTGAAGTACTGGTCACTCTTTCTCTCTCGAGCCACAGCTGGATGATGGTTGAGAAGAATAAAGGCTAACAGGCACACGACCATCATAGCACTGAGGAAAATGAAGAAAACCTGGACAGAGAATCTGGCCGGCTGGTAGACAGCTTGTAGTTCACCACTGCCCAAAGTACTGGAATTATCAGCTGATGAGTTTCCAGCCAAGGTGGCATTTTGACAGTGGACTATACCAACGCCCTGAATCAAAGCCACTAGTGCAGGCACTAGACCACTCAGACCTTCGCCTACAAAGTACGTAGTGAGATATTGTGGACGTAGGCGCATCATGAAAGGCAGGAATGTGACAGATGATGTGCAGTCCACCACAGATAGCAGAAAACTTAAAATCAGCAGGGGCACACTGTGCAGAGAGCCTGCAACTGTCAATGTGTGCCTCCAGAAAAAAGCCAGCAGGAATGTAACAACAGTCCCCAAAGCTACAATGAAGTAGATGACGAGTCGTTCGTCCAGTGTCCCTGGGCAGAAACGATGCATCAGGGTGATAAACAGAGGTCCTATGTTGGCCATTTGGATGAGGACTGTGAGATATGAAGGCAGGTACCAACGCTCTGGGATTTCTGGTACAACCAGGGGGAGCTCCACCCACATCCCGTTGATGGCCACCCAGGAGCCCATACCGAAAAGGCACGCCAGCACATGAGTCAGCAGCGACATGATGGAGGTAGGATTGAGGTACACCAGGAAATGCTGATGAGCAAAATCTGAAACATGGTAACAACATAGTTAGGTTTTATTAATAAAATGTGAAGAATCACAACTCATAAATATGAAATACTTAAAAAGTTATCCATATTTTCAAACCAATTCATTTGATTGAAACTAGTGAAATGGAATCCACTTGCTATGCCATTTTTTAGGGGTGGGGGAGGTTGAGCAGAGTCCAGGGACGACGACGACGACGAACTACTACTACTACCACTACCACTACTAATACTACTACTACTACTACTACTACTACTACTACTACTACAACTGCTACTGCTACTGCTGCTGCTGCTGCTGCTGCTGCTGCTGCTGCTGCTGCTGCTGCTGCTGCTGCTGCTGCTGCT